TACAATGGATATGACATATCCAGGTTCCCACATCAGAATGGTAAAATCGCCAAAAAATGAATTCATGTGCGTGTATATATCCTTGTATGCCTTTATAAGGGGGTTTGATCATTGTAGACCCATTGTTGTTGTGGATGGAACTCACCTAAGATCTTACTACACCGAGACATTCGTTTCGGCAAGCACGTTGGATGGTGCAGGTGAGTATCTGAATTATAATACAATCTGTTAATATTTTGAAATATTGAAATACATGTTTTAAAAATAATTATATTCAATTGTATTTACAGGTCATATATTGCCACTAACATATGGTATTATTGATTCAGAGAACGATGCTGCTTGGACNTAAAGAAAAGGCAATGAATTTTCTGAGAGGTGAACCAGCTGATTCATACAAAAAATTACCAGGATACTTATATACAATGGATATGACATATCCAGGTTCCCACATCAGAATGGTAAAATCGCCAAAAAATGAATTCATGTGCGTGTATATATCCTTGTATGCCTTTATAAGGGGGTTTGATCATTGTAGACCCATTGTTGTTGTGGATGGAACTCACCTAAGATCTTACTACACCGAGACATTCGTTTCGGCAAGCACGTTGGATGGTGCAGGTGAGTATCTGAATTATAATACAATCTGTTAATATTTTGAAATATTGAAATACATGTTTTAAAAATAATTATATTCAATTGTATTTACAGGTCATATATTGCCACTAACATATGGTATTATTGATTCAGAGAACGATGCTGCTTGGACGTGGTTCTTTGAGCAATTCAAGATAGCATACGGTGAAAGGGAAAACATGTGCGTCGTTTCAGATAGAAATGAGAGTATCATTAAATCTGTATCGAGAGTGTATCCAGATGTACCGCATTTTGCTTGTATATGGCATCTATGGAACAACGTATATAAGAAATTCAAAAAGAATCATGCCAAGTTGAGCGAGATATACTTCTCGATGGCAAAAGCATACACACAAGCTGAATTTGACAGTCTGATAGAGAAGGTGGAGAAGGTAGATATTAGGGTGAAAGAATACTTAGAGTTAGCTGGTTACGAAAAGTGGGCTAGGTTGTATGCACCTGTTAACAGGGGATGGACAATGACGTCAAATATCGCTGAGTCAATCAATGTCGCACTAGTTTCAACAAGGGAATTGCCAATAAACGACTTTCTCGAAGAAGTTAGGAAGATGTTTGGACGTTGGAATTGTAGTAATCGCAAAGAAGCTACACAGACATACACGACGCTTGGAAAAAAATACCAGGAGATGCTGACTTTGAATGAGGCAATGTCTACACGTATGACTGTAAGTTATATTTTAATGTCATTGCTGTATATAGCTTAATGTTTACTGAATTAATGGCATGAATACAATAATTTTTTAAGTAAAACTACCATTAATACATATGAATACAACTATATTCAAACTCATAAAAGATATATTTTTCCGTAGATCTAATATGAATACAATTTAATATAACTAAAAACATGCTGCAAAAACTATTGGAATACATCAGAATATAACTAACAAAGCTGTATTATATGTAATTTTAATATGTATTGTCAATACGTATGATTCTAATGCTTTTATTAGCATCCTGTTGCCTAAAGTACATCAGAAATTTGATAAGTTCTGCACTAATTATAGTCGATATTCTGCTGGTCAAAATATTTAAAGTATTCATCTATATGCAAAAATTTCAGTTGTATGTAACTTATTAATTCAGCATTATACATTTGGTAATTCAGGTATATGTGTTCAAAATTTATATTTCTATTTTTAAATGTAGGTGGTACCATCAACTGAATACTTACATACGGTTAATGATGGTGGGAGGAATTACACAGTCTGCCTATTAGAGAGAAAATGTGTTTGTGGGAGGTTCCAAGTTGATGAATTGCCATGCCCACATGCTTGGGCTGTATTGAAGAGCAAGTTCCTAATGCTAGAAGAATATTGCTCTAACTATTACAAACCAAATACAATTGTAATGACATACGATGTTCCAATGTACCCGCTACCGGACAGAAATGACTGGAATATACCAAAACATGTTACAGAGAAGGTTGTACTACCATCTAAATGGAAAAGACCTCTTGGAAGGCCAAAAAAGAAGCGCGATAAAACTTTAAGTGAATTGTTGCAGCCGAAAAATCAACATTCATGTAGCATATGTGGACAGGGAGGACATAACAAGCGAACATGTAGAAATGCTCCACGTAACAAATAGTTAACACTTTGACATGTATTGGTGCTTCAACGATTTATCAATATTTATGATGACATTGTCAAGTAATAAATTCTCATTGTCAAGTAATATATTCTGAAATGACTTTCGTGAATAGTTTCTGAATACATATAGTTGAAGTATTTTTATACAGATAAATACATATGCACTATACAGTTAAGTATAACTGAGTATAGATGAATACTAAAAAATACAACTGGATACAGCTGAAGTATTTTTATGAATAATACAGTTGAGTAGCACTGAATGTAAATGAATATACCAAAATACAACTAAATACAACTGAATAATACACTTAAATACAACTAACTACTGCTGAATAAAATAAGCTAAATACAACTGAGTACATCTGAATACAACTGATTACGTACAACCTGTTTAATACATCTGAAATTGTGTTCTTTAATATGTATTATCTGAACTTGAAAGATACATCTGAATGGATACTGCTGAATACAACTGAGTACAACTGAATTTGATAGCTAAATACAACTGAATACAACTGAATCCAGAAAAAAATACATCTGAATTCTTTTATATAACCTACCATCAGCATACATAAAGTTTCTGACTTTGACATTAAGATGTTCATTAACTAAAACATGTTCAAGCAAAGTTCCTTGGTATTAACACATACTTGAATCCTGTAAGATAAATATGTATTCAAACTGAAGAATAAGCATGAATACTTATGAACAAACCAGTGAAACAGTGATTGAAAAGTTGCAATTGTCATACACGAACACTGTTGATAAAGTGATAAGTTTTTCAAACTAAATACCATCTACACCAAAAACTACTCAAAATAGTATTCATCTTGAAACTACACTCTAAAACTACAATAACCTAAAGCTACTCTAACACTATCTGCATCTTTGAATATAACTCCGTGATTTGCCTAGCAATCTTTAAAGGTGCTTCATTCTCGCTTATGGCATCGGCGTCTATCTTCCGCATAGCATAGTCCCAGAGGAGAGCACCATATCTTTGATGGAGTAGAGTGGAATCAAATATTGTTTGTGGAATCTCTCCAAGAGTGCTCAAAAACTCTGCGTATGCTGCAACATGCACCCCACAATCCCTAAAAAATAATTGATTGAAACAATTAAAAATAATTCATACAATTAGATTTGTGTATAACATACAATAATGATGCTTGAATACTTACATGCTACAAGCTTTCTGTTGAGGCAGATCTGAAAGGAAAAAAACTTCAAAGGGATCATTATGTGACTTGTCAGTTCATGCTGAGTAAGCAGACCAATCTATGCCTTGACTATCTCTGTAAAAGCCACTGATTGATAGATACAAAGGTACAAGCTTAGCTAGCTTATCAATCTCAGAAACTACATAAGCATCATGACCTACAGATCTGTACGAGTCATACACTTTGATACATCTCTCCTTGAATGAGACAACAACCAATACCCAGTGTAGTTTGTCCTTCAAATTGACTGGTATCATGACATTATCCACAGTATGCCAAGGTACATTAGCATGCAATCTGTAGCCTCTTATGTACTCACATACCACATCCTCTTCTTTGGCTACATTAACATTACTATCTGTATCAGCATACCTGTCGAATATTTCAGCGATTCTTGTCTTGAATATACAATCAACAGTTGTATACTTGAAGTTGCTTGTTTGATTGTACTTTCCCTTCTTTCTCAAATAGTATAATATGACGTCAATATGCTATACACAAAGTTAAGTACATGGTGTGAGTCCAATTAATCAAATTATTAAAGAATATAGCTGAATACAGAGAAATACATATGAAAAATATAGTTGAATACAACAGATTGTATGTGAATAAAACTGTTGACTACAACTGAATACAACTTACTACATCTGATTAAAACAATTGAAAACAACTGAATATAGCTGAATACAGCTGAATAATATTGAATAATACAATTGACTACTTATGATTTAAACACTTGAATATGACTGTCTACAGCTGAGTACATCTGAATATAGAGAAATGCAGTTGAATACAACTGACTACAGCTGATTAAAACATTTGAATTCAACTGAATATAGTTAAATACATCTAAATACATGAGTTGAATAAAGCTGAATACAAATGCAGTTGAATATATCTGACTACAGCTGATTAAAACATTTGAATTCAACTGAATATAGTTAAATACATCTAAATACATGAGTTGAATAAAGCTGAATACAAATGCAGTTGAATATATCTGACTACAGCTGATTAAAACAGTTGAATTTAATTGAAATTAGCTGAATACAGCTGAATATAGATGTTGAATAAAGCTGAATATAGCAATTGAATACAGCTGACTATAGCTGATTAATACAGTTCAATTTAACTGACTATAACTGAATACAACTGAATACACCAAAATACATCTGAATACAGTTGAATGCAGATGTTGAATAAAACTGAATATAGCAATTGAATTCAGCTGACTATAGCTGATTAATACAGTTCAATTCAACTGACTATAGCGGAATACAGTTGAATACAGTTGAATACAGCTGAATGTAGATGAATAATACAACTGAATACAGCTGAATAAAACAACATGTTGTTATTCAAAGAAAATTAGTCAGTTAGGGGAAAAAACTTACGTTGTCATCCCATAGCTTCCCGTCAAACGATAGAAGGTAAAACCAATTTTTTGAATTAACTTAGTCAACTCCAAAATCCCATGGTATATGAAGTGTTGACTTGTTCTTCTTGTAATGGTCTTCCAAATTACTTCTACAAGTATGATATAAAAAATATTATATACATTTTTAAAAATATAAATACTTAATACATATACCGGGGGAAAACTCACCTCTGATCATGTCTAGCGAGAAGACCATCACGAACCTATTTGTCATATTCCTCAATGATTAACGTAGGATGTGGCCCCGTTATTGAATCATCCTCAAAGGGGCGTCTTATTTCAAAAATGGGGGTCAACTTTACTGAGGTACTTGTTCATTGAATTCGTGATTAGAAACTTTTAAATTTAAAAACCATGAGGAAAGCTGAATCTTTAGTTTATAAAAACACTAACCTGCAGAGTCGAAGTTAGACACGTAAGGCGAAGAGTACCATCTACTTGGTCGCCGATTCCTATGAGATGGTATTGGGGTTGATTCAGCTTTTTTTGCACTGTTGTGAATCACAATTCTAGTTTCTGGAATTTTACTGGGAAGAAACTTGTCGTCCTGCTCAAATTGAGATACATAGAATTCTGTAGATACACCCTCTTGACCTGTAGATGGTATGTTGGACGACACCTCTGATGTAGTTTTCCCCTCCCCTCTTGACTCCAAACATTGATCATTAAGCACTTATTTCTGTTAGTTGTATGTATCATTGTTAGTGTATTAACTTAATGTTACAATACAATTAAATACATATAAGTGTAGTAAGAAAATAGATTTTGGTAATGGAAATGGGAGTTTGAAATACATCACACATATTCAAGAAATACAAATCAGAATACATCAAAATACAGCTGAATATGTTTAAATACAGTAGTTAATTCTATTTACATATTAAGGTTAACACAGATTTGAATACAGCTAAATACATGTGTTGGTCGATGCCTTTATCAGTTTAATGAGGCAGTTAAATGCTAGTCGAATACATACAACTTTTATAATACAATTATTTAATTATAACAGCAAGCAGGAGATATAAACAAATGCTCAATATGTTAAGAATGTTAAACCTCAACATTATCTCCGACATCTGTGTCAATGCCATCATCACATCTCCCTATGGGTTCCTTTCTCTGGTGTAAACTTTCAGTTTGCTGATTTTGTTGAAGATGGTCAGAAAGCTTCTTGAAGTTATCATTGATCAATGTTCTTAGAGACTTGAACTCTCCCACAACCTTAACAATACAAAAATAATTAGAAGATTGCGCCAAAAATATATGAATGTTATTCATTAAACTGTAATGTTTAATTTGTGGTTAAATACTCACGTATTCTTTGAATGAATTTATGTCTTTCCTCAAAGAAGATACTTCGTCATATTGGGAATCTGGCAGCTGATTGTCATGCAAAACTTTATGTCCAAATTCGGATACACAAACAGGAGGAATCTTGGGTTGATATTCTGTTTCATTAGGATGCCTTTCGTGTTCCTTTGCGCTTTTTATGGGGCGGTGATGAAGATGGACCAACACTTGCAACATGTTTCTTCTTACATTGAAGATCGGGTGTAGGAGAAAAGTCATCCGAATCCTCTCCCGATTTGTCTGAATGAGCAGGAGTAGGTCTCCTCTCAACATCGACGCCTACAGGAGGAATCTGAATAACGGCAAACTCTATATCGCTTGGACTGATGTCCTTGTAAACAATCTGAAAATTGAAATACAATCAAAGCATCACTAGAAACATACAGATGCAGATCTGGAATACAAACTGAAATTTGTATTGAATATAAGGCAACACTAATGATTTGGAAATAATATGCAATTGTATGAAAAATTAATAATGAAGGCTACAACAGCTATATATTGCTGTATGCATATGAATGCAATTGTATGCATTAGATGTATTCAAATGTATGCCGTTTCTGTATCCATTTGTATACAAGTGTATGCAGCTGTTTATTAGTCCTTATGCATTTGTATACATGTATCTTGAATCTGTATGCAAGTATTTATATCTGTAAGCATATGTATACAAATGTATATTGCTGTATGCATCCCCTGAAAATGTATGCAGCTGATTATAGAAGTAGTATGCAACTGTATCTTGTATCTGTATGCAACTGATTATACAAATATTTCTATCTGTATGTATTTGTATACAAATGTATTATGTTGTATGCATCCCCTAAAAATGAATGCAGTCTCTTGTATGCAAATGTATGAGTAATCTGGATGCATTTGTATGCAATTGTATGCAGCAGATTTGTGAGAATATGACAGCTAAAACTACAGCAGGTATTACATCACCAAAAATGTATCTGAATGCAACTGCATACTTCTATATGCAAATGTATGCCTATTAATTATTAATAAAATATAAACTAGCAATGATATAATTTGTATATTACCATGTTTTCGGTGTTAGTGAACATGCCGTTCATCAGATAAGCAAAGGTTGGCTGATATCCGGTGGTTCTCTAATTGAGTATTCTGGGGACCACGTCATCAACTCGGCGTGCAATTTTGGAATCAACATCTGTACAACACTCATAAAACCACACTTGCATAGCCAGTGGCATCCCAACTATCTTGTAAGACTTCTTCTCAGCATCCATCTTCATGCTAATCGATTTTGTCAGCATTTCAAATGCTTTTAAACCCAAATGATATTCAGAATAGCGCCCACTCTCTACCAAGTCAAAATGTAGCCTTGGTATAGTTGTACTATTCTTCTCGGATGAAAAAATGAAGGTGTGTATGAAATACAACAAAGATATCTTCAAGGCATCACCATTATTGTCGGGACCCCAGTTCTTGTCAGCAAAATATTTCATCAATTGTTCCTTCTTGACAAGATTAGCACCTCCAAAGCAAGTCTCAATAAGCCAGTTAGGAACCTTTTCACTAAACTCAAAATCTTCATCATTACCAATACATTTGAGGACAGCCACAAGCGCAAACTCCATTAATGTGAAATGTTAGAAGTATCATTAACGTGTACTGCAAATACATTGTTAGCAGTGCCTTCTAACTGGAGAGCCATGAAGCATCCGAAGAGTTGATGTTGAACTTCACAGCGCTTCATTTGAAGAAATAAGCCAAAGCAAGTATTGCCAAGTTGTTGGTACTGATCAGGAGTAAGGTTCTCTTTTAGCTGGGAGACTACATCAGTGTTGGTATAAACACTGATATGGGGTGCAAATTTTGGCCGGTGTTTCACAAAAAATTAATTCCCTGCATTTAACAAGAATAAATACATGTAAATACAATTGAATAATTATGAATACATATAAGTTTCTTTGAATGCATATTGATACAATAGCAATTACCTTTTCATGTCGTGTATCTGATATTTTTTTTTGCAGCGACTTCCTTTACATTGACACATGAAGAATCATTCATAGGGGTTTTCCTCTTTGAAACAACTGGATTTTTTTGTTTCTTTTGAAGATTTCTCAACTTGGACTTCTTTCGACTTGTCATTGTGTAATTTAGTTCTTCTCTCTGAAACTGTAGTTGCTGATAAACCTGCAAAATCCGACTCCCCTTAAGTTATTTGCAACGAGAAAGAGGGCCCATCAAAATTGAGAATTTTGGTGGGTATACCTCTGGTTATCATCTTGTGTGGCGTTGAATCCGCCGTTGGAATTCCTATGATTGAAATTCAATCGGACCTTTTACCACTTGCTATGAAGAGGATCCAAATGGTCAGGAACTATACTTTCATGTTGTGAAGTTGTACTTTGGTAGTTTAAGCACGAGTACGAAGTTGAATCTAGAATAGAACGTGTAATTGTAAAACATCGTGGGTTCTATTGTTTGGCTTTTATTGGATGAAGAAAACTTCTCAATATTATAAGTTAATCAACTCCAAAGGGATAGGATTAATGTTTGATACTTCGGCAAGTACTTTGTCCTTTGACATTGATGAATGTCATTGAGGTATATATAAAGTTTCTGTGTCTTGCAATCTCAAGGTGCATCAAATAAATTCACAAGGATTACAGCTAGTACTTCTTCTTCTTGCAAAAATTCACGAATATCACATGAATATCACGGACAAAAAATAAGAGCTGCAAATAAATTCACGGACAAAGAATAAGAGCTGCAAATAAATTCACAGACAAAAAATAAAAGCTGCAAAAATTTCAGAAAACATGAATATCACCACCTCTCAACAATTACTTCTGAACCATTGCTGCTAGCGCATGCTTCATGAAACAAACAGTTTTTACAATGTCACCATTTAGATGAAGATTTTCTCTGATATTTTTTGATAATAATATCTAATTGTAATACTATTGAACTTTATATTGGTTACTTTTCAAATAAAGAGAAAGTATACATAATCAGATGCTGAGAAAATAAATATTTAGTTATCCAATATTCAGATTTAAAGACAACATCTTATAATTTGGGCATCTTAATCTTTAATGAAAACAAATGGTGTTTGATCAGCCAATATACTTAGTCCATGGATGTTTAAGTATAATATAAATACAATCAAACCTTTCTATAATTTCTTTTGTTTGGATCTTATTTGCCATTATAGCGATTAGTTGTTATACTCCTATAATAACATTTTGTCATTTAGATCTTATTTGAATGTTATAGACAAGAATTACTCAAAAAATCTTTTTTTTCCCCATATTTTTAAGGTATGTAAGATAATAAAATTCATTTAAATTTAAAATCTCAAAAGATATTCAAGTTTATAAGAGGTTTTGCATTTCATATTCCTCATTAGAACTTAAAAAATTTAGTTATGGTATGTCTCCAGTAAAATAGATTAGTGGATTATTTTTTGCTATTATAAAATAATAAACATAACGAAGAGATATTTGAGTTAGGCTGTTACAGAGAAGTAATAATTCAAAAAGTATACAACAATAATGATGATTATTACTCCTATAAGTAAAATGTTGTTATAGAGATAAAATATGATAGAGAAAATCTGATCCAAAGAAAACTTGATAGTTATGATGAAACGTTACATTGTTATAAACAAGGGCGCAGATACATCTTTGAAAAATCAGGTTCATCTGAATTGGGTACTTTAGGCGCGAAATATATATTTATTTGTAAATTTTATTAAAATTATAATAAATAGTATATATAAATCTATAACTTTAAAATTATAATGAACGGTCGCTACACAAAGGTCTGTAATGGGGGAATCCACATTAACAAAGTTCCTTAAATTATCTCATGAGATTTCATGCTCTCTATTTAGGAAAGATGTTCGTGAAAAATGAAAAAAAAAATTTCATTTACCATGTGAGCACGTGATTTTTGCCCTATAAAAATTATCCCCATAAAATCTAAGAAAATAATTTTTTCCCATTATTTGCAATTTTATAGATTTTTCGTAGGATTTTTGTTAATTATTTGCATTTTTCTGTGCATGTTTATTTTATTTAAATCATGAAAAAGGTACAAAAATATCATGCATTGCATTTAGGTTTTATGTTACAGTCTAGGATTAATTAGTTAGTTATTTGTTTTGTTAAAAAATAAAAACTACAAAATTGGCTCATTTTTACAATTATTGTCTTTAATTCTTAAATTGTTGATTTTTCTCTTTTAGTTTAAATTTATAGTTAGATAATTAGTGTAACTTTAAAATTTAGATAATTTAGGAATTTTATAAAAGAAAAAAAAAGAAAAAGGAAAAAGAGAAAAAAGGGAAAAAATGAAAAGAAAAACAAAACAAAAGAGAAGGCTATTATTAATTGGGCAAATTAGCTGAGGCCCAAATCCCTTACCCATGTTCCGCCCCAGCTCACTCCCTATAACCCGGTCCAGCTCCCCCCAAGCCAAAACGATGGCGTATTGTCCAAACAAATCTCATCCGTTGATCTCTTTTGATCGAACAGATGGAACTGGGCTATGACATAGTATAAAAATGTCCAAAATTAGCCCCCCCCCTCAATTTCATTCCCCCTCATTCCTGTCTCTCAATTCAGAGAACGAAACCCTAGCCGCCGCCCTAAGATTCCCCGCCGCCTCCACCGTCAGCCACCCACCGGAATTCACCTCACGACGGTTCCGATGGTCCAAACCTCCCCAAACTAACACCACACAACCCTCGTTCCCTCCTCTTTCCAAACACCCTAACCGTTTTCCCAAATCCTCATCAAGCCTTTCGAATCTTAGATTGAAGATCAGAGTCCCAAACCCTAATCCCTTCAAACACTCCAAAATTGATACAAGGCGACCCCTGTCCCCCCCTCTTCCCAAATCCATCAGCAAAATCCCCCAAAACACTTTCAAGCGCCCCTAATTTTTGATCTGAAAATTAAAAAGAAAAAAAAACCTAGTTTTGCTGAGACTGTTTCTTCGCCTTTCAAAGTTCAAATACAGCTCAAGACTCGTGTTAACCAAGAGTTCTTGTCCAGAGCCCTTGATTGACACGAGTTTTGGTTCGATTTTGAGAGCCAACTACATTGGTCAATCACTGCTTCTCCGCCTTCTTGGCCATTGCTTGGATTCAATTACCAAGCCACTTCCCGGTTAGCCCATATCTCCTCATTTTCTCATTAGCTTTGCTTTATTTGCCTCCTGATTCTGGTTTCATTTCAACCAATTACTTGATTATTTGTTTCTGCTATGTGTTTTTTTAAGTCAGTAGGTTAATTCTTTTTTGTTTCTTTGATTAAATTAGATCTCTGTTGGGCTAGTTTAAACGTTACCAATCTGTCCAGTTTTACTGTTCTATTAGGTTCCATGTTCTTCTCTTTTCCTTCTCTCTTTAACCAATGCTAGCTTAAATTAATAAGCGTTTCTAAGTTCATTGCTTTTGGGTTTTAATTGGTTAAGTTCATGTTTACTGTTAATTTGAGTTCCTTTTGGTTTTGGTTAACTTGTTCATTTCTTTACTGGTTTGAGGTCGTCTCTTGGGCTTATGGTAAGCCAGACCTGGGCATTAGAAGCCTACTCGTTTGGGAATCAGATGACCTGTATTGGTTTAGGCTAGGAGGGTAAATACAGGGGTGTCAGAGGTTAATTTTGGTATTTTAAAGCTTAGGGAATATTTTTCTATTAGTATAGAAGTTTTTAGAGGATAAGGTTGGACTGGTTTGTTGAGAGAGAAGGGAGGTTTCAGATATTTTAGAGGGGTTAAGGGGTAAACTGACCAAGAAAATAAGGGGTAAAGTGGGAATTAGTTAACTAGGTTAGGGCTGCCTTAGGAGTGTTTATATAAGAGCCCTCTTCTTTCATTCTTGAGCAACCATTCATACCTTGAAAAACAGAAAAAATTTCTGCATCCTTTTGGTCGAAAATTGCTGGGACTTGTTCTTTGGTTTCATTGTTGTCAATAGTTTAAGAGTTTCAGGATTTCTGAGCTATTTGGGTAAAAAAATTGGTTTAAGAAAGCTGAACATGGCTTGTTGATTTGCTGAACTACTGCTATTGCTGAAATCCTCATTTTTTTGCTTTATCTTTACCTCCAGGTACTCTCATGAATCCCTGAACAAAAATGAAGCATGAATTGCTGCCTTGAAGTTGAAACCACAAGATTTATTTTAGTTTGATGTATGCTTGTTTTCTCTCTTATGTTTATAGTTCTTTGTAATTTGTTAAGTTGTTTAAAAATGATGTCTAGTGCTCAGTTCAGTCATACTGTTATGGAGCTGTTTGATTGCTTCACATGGGTTTGGACACGTTTTACCATATTCAGGGCTTGTAATATTTGGGGACTTTGTTTTTTAGAATTGGTAAATTAAATGTTATTTGTATAGGTTTTAGCTGAAGTTTACTGTTATTTAGGGTCAAAGCAATACATGATTATCTCATATTAGTATGTAATCGATGGCTTGCATGTGTAAGCTGGACAATTTTTTTTAAAAAAAGGGAAGAACCATGTTCTTATTGTTCTCATCAAAAGCAGGTCGTATGACTTAGGTAATTATGTGTTTGATGCTCAAAAAGAAAATTGCTGTGTGTCAATAGGCTTTAAAGTTGAAGAGATTTTTTTAAGGATTATTGGGCCTAATGTAGGCCGAAGGAAGTCAGTCCTTGGCCATATGGTTTTGCTATATCGTGGGCTCGATTTGGAGCCCAATAGCCTTCAACATTTTCTTGTTTCTTAAGTATTGATTGATTCAATAAGAAAAGGATTGCGACAGAGAATTCAATTCGAATGTTTAATTCAATTTTTGATTTCGATAAACATGTTGTTAATCTGCTTAAATACGAGTTTGAATGGCTCAATGCTGGCCCAATTGAAATGGTTAAGTCGATTGGGATGTTTCCTTTCATCTTCCTGTTCCCCTGTATTAAATTTCAGCCCAGCCCTTTCTTATATTCGACACTGGGCCTACCACTAGACCAGGTCTCTCTCAAGTGATTAAAAACCTGGTTTTGTCTGACGTGCGCTTATAACTAATAAGGGTATATTGAACCTTAATTTAGAGTAGACTTAACATCTTGGACCTTTTTTTTAAGTATTGTCCCTTACAAATAGATCGAGGTGTGCCATCTAATTAAATCTCCTATGGCCCTCACAAATACTTTAATTATATATTAGAACGAATATTCGTATAAAAGCCTTTAGGCACGTTTAAAATGCAATTGCGATTGTGTACACGATTGCGTGAGATAATTATGATTCTAAAAAAACAATTCGGAGTATGCATTCGCGCAACTTCGATCAACCTTTCTTAATAATAGATTGTTATTAACAGGCCACTAATTAAATTTAGTTCACATAGTCCGAGGTGTGCCATCCACAATTTAATCATACATGGCCCTCGTATTAATTTCTTAACTTAGATATAAAAATGACACATATTCGTAGTTTGTTTTAGGCACGTTTAATGTACTATCATGGTCGTGGACATGTTCGCGTGACATGATTACGATTTCTAAAAAACAAAACCGGAGTATGCGTTTGCACAACTTTGGCCAAATTTTCTTAATAATAACAAAGCATTACTAATTGTGGACACATTAGTGTGACATGATTTTTGACGCGCAAAACAAATGGGTACACGCACACATGACCCGTTTCAAGGTAATTTTCTTAATTAAAAAGCGGTAAAAGGTAAATGCGCATAGGTTCTAAAATGAGTAATTAGGCAATTTTTATCAAGCCAAGTATGATCAAAGAGACCATGCTAGAACCACGGAACTCGGGAGTGCCTAACACCTTCTCCCGGGTTAACAGAATTCCTTACCCGAATTTCTATGTTCGCAGACATAAACAGAGTCAAATCTTCCTCGATTTGGGATTTTAAACCGGTGACTTGGAACACCATAAATCATCCCAAGTGGAGACTCTAAATTTTAAATAAATAATCTCGTTCCGGTTGTCACTTAAATTGAAAAAACTCCTTTATACCCTTTCGAGGGTAGGAGAAAGGAGGTGTGATAGCTCTGGCGACTCTGCTGGGGACAACAACCCAGAACTTCTGGTTCATGGTTCAGAATTCGAGCTTGTTAATATGATTTTACTTGGTTTTATTTATTATTGTATTCTGTGAACCTTTTGTGCTAACTGCTGTATGTTTACCGCTTTGATATTATTTGGATTGTATATAGCTGTCTTCTTACGCCACCCCTCTGAGTCTTCTGAAAATGGTGCACACGTTCGCGTGGACCGATTTTTTTTTGTAGAAGTTATACCAAATAGAACGAGGTTCGGCCAACAACAAGTCCGGGTAGACTTCAGTGCTCCCGATATGTTGCCCCCTCTTTGGCTCGAATCGTCCGCTCGGGTAAGCCAGGTCTAGGACACAACCCCAAGTTTAAACTTAGAATAACATAGCCCCATGCTAGATCCCTAGTAGGAATGTTTGTTTGCATCATGTACATTTGACTTAGGAGACTCAATGTAGGGGTTGGGTCCATCTAGGACATGTGTACCCAAAATAACAGACCATCTTGATGCATCCTATGTGCTATGTGAACATTTATTTGATTCGGCCTGCATGCTAACCTGTTAGGGAAAAATAAATCAAAAAACAAAAACCAAGAGCGATGTAGGGAAGGAAGTAAAACCCGGTTCTACAAAAATCCTTGGTATTTGGAAATGTCTCAAAACTCTGCCGAAATTTTTTCAAAAAGAGAGGAAAAAAAGAGTCATTTCAAAAGGGTCAATACTGTGTCCTTTTCAAGTGTGTCAAAACTGACCGAATTACGCAGGTCTGATTCTCATCGGATGTAGGATACATAGGCAACCTACATAAGGTTTGGCCTTATTTTTGCAAAGAAAAAAGAGAAAAAGAGTAAATGTTCAAATAAATATAGTTTGGGGTTTTGGTCAAAATTTAAGCCGATCCAGCTTCGGTAATGTCTTAAGCCATTCTTGCCGAGATAGCCTTAGAGTATCTTAAGTTGTCGAAGGGCTATTTTCGTAAAAGAACGGACGAGTCTATCAGTAAAGTGTCAATTTTTCATAATGTAGTTCTCCCCGGCCTCAAAATTTATTTGGAATTGGGAAGGAGCCACATTTGCAAAAACGACCATTTTTGCTAAAATTAGCATATAAGCGAAGTAATCATGGTACGTTGATTTTCTTTTAGAAATTGAAAAAAAAAAACATGTTTACAAAAAGGATCCACTAGAGTCAAACCTAACCTTAATCTCCCACAGGTATAAATGAATACTGTCCAGGACCCGTCACAAATGAACACCGCCCAGAACCCGTCAGAGTTGGTCATAGAATAGGTTCAGCTGCAGTTGCGTATGTGGTGGAATGATCTAGATGAATATGGTTGGAAGTGGGTGAAAAAATAGTTGGGTGCCCTTATAAACATTTTGAAAATCAAACCACGGGAAGATCTAATCAAGGCTTTGGTAACTTATTGGGACCCTATCCACAATGTTTTTCAATTCTTGAACTTTGAAATCACCCCTAATTTGGAGGAAATAGCTGGGTATATTGAGTTTGGCCGGGATTAGAGGAAACAACAACTTATATTTCCATGGGCTCCTTCGGTGCACAAATTCTTTGACCTCCTAAATATCAATAAACAGATGAAAAAGGACCATGTAAGCAAAGGATATTGTTATTTCTACTTCTTGTACTTCAAGTTCGGGTACTCAGTCGGGTTCGAAATGCATGAAAAGGGTTTGAGCAATAAACAAGATAAGGGCCTTTGGCAAACTCATCATTGGTTCGCTTTTATTGTGGCGGTTTTGGGGATCATGGTCTTTCCAAATGCGGAAGGGACAATGGACAGAATTGCACAAATCCTCACTACCAAGAAGATCATACATTTGTCCCGTTAGTGCTGGCAGACATTTGTCGAGCATTGAAATTATGTAAAACTGGGGCTCAATACTTTGAAGGTTGCAATATTCTTCTACAAATATGGTTGATCGAGCATCTCCACCATCACCCCAAATTCATGAGATATGGTTCGAGCACGGATAACTTCATCGAGAGTTATGAGGAAAGGGTGAAAGACTACAATGCTCCAGAAGGGTTTGAAGCCTGGGTCTCCTACTTGAAAGCTCTCAAAGCAAGTCAGGTCGAGTGGACTATAGGATGGCTCCCGATGACAGAAGCCATATACATGACAGCTACCAAGGGTTACCTATGGTTGATGGGTGTGAGGAGTATCCAACCATATGCACCGCAGAGGGTCTTAAGGCAGTTAGGAAGATATCAGGTGGTGCCCGAAGATGAATATCTAACTACTCAGGTCATTGAGCTACATCTAAAAGCTGCATTGCCCGAGACTTTAGTTCAACCGGATTGGAATGGTTACCGTTATCTGAAAAATGGCACCCAGGTAGCAGATGTTGCAAAGGGGGAAGTGGATCCAAATTATGCCATATGGTTTGAGAAATGTCTTGTGTAAACAATGAAACAGAGCTTGAGCCCGAGCCCGAGAGGCTTGCCAAAAGACCTCATGTTCAAGATTTTGATGAGAAAATCCAAGAAAGGTTGGCCTGGGGAGAAAAAGAGAAAAAATATCAAGATGCAATTCACACTTTGGAAGCGAAGCTGAGAAACATGGAATTAAATAATGATCTCCAGGCACAAGAAACGGAAGGTGAAATAACAAGGTTGGCCCAAGAGAATGAAACTCTCCGAGCCCAAGTCCGAAAAATGAGAATAGCAGCTGAGAACCCGGGCAGGAGCAGAAAAGATGAAAAGCTCATCTACAGACTTACGCAAAAAGTACGTGACTATGAGGATGATTCACAAAAGACTGAAGCGGAGCTAGCAAATGCCCGAGCTAAGTTAGCTAAGAATGCGGAGGGACGTGCCAGTTTCGTTTGGCAATTGAAGGAGAAGTATGACAAGGGAATGGTGAGTATAAAGAAAAAGGTCAACGCCCATGAGAATGAAATGGCCAAGCAGGAAAGAGACTTAAAGCAGAAAGGGAGCACTGCTATGCCCTGATGGCACAGTTAGAGAAGGACCTGCAGCAGCTTCAAGAGCAAAATCATACAGCTGAACAAGGTTTGGATGCCATATCTCAGCAGATCGGATGGTTGCTACATGAGAAGGGTATTGTCAAGGAAAAGGTTAGGAGAATTACGGACCACATTGTGATGAAGTGCAACGAGTGTGAAGACATGACCAGATCCATGTTCTTTGCTTCAGTTATGATTTTTGTCCGACAGATCATGGATGATTTGTTTCTCCTCCAAGAAGATATGGCGCAAAGGCCCGCAGCAAGGCCAACTGGAGCAACAGTTGAGGCACTTATGTATTCTTGACTTTGTTCGAGTCTGTATTTTGTTAGTTTATTTTCGAGTCTGTATTGTTAGTTTGTTAGTTCATTTTCGAGTCTGT